ACAAACACGCAAAGCTACATAGTTTTGCTTTCTTGCTTGCTTTACCTTTCGTTTTTCTTGCTTTGCTTTTGCATTAACAGTAACACATATTTTTGCTCCTTGTATCTATGGCTGGCGTGCCGGACATAACCCTACGACTTCCTCTATAATAAATATGTTGCCCCTTGGTTTCACTGAAGTACACAGTGGCAATCTCCTCACAACCTGTCAACCTGTTGCTGAGATGCCCAGCGGAAGGAGCAGCATGATCCGAAGCATGCCAGTGCCCAGTGCTTGCAGGGCTCGCCTTGGATTTGTTCAGAATACAGGTGTCTCCGATATCTCGCGCGTGCGTCTACTGACCCCATGTTTGAATTAATGCGCACCTAGCATTAAGTAACCTCCCCCTATTAATCAAGCCCAGCTCGAGCCCTCAATACTAAACTTTACAGACTGAATGTCCACCTTGACATCCCCCTAAAAGCTTTTTTCCTGGCCAGAACCCCCTTTTAATCAAGCCCAGCTGCACCCGAAAAAATACTAGAAAATTGTTTACTATTCTATTATAGTTTACTCTTTTTTTGTCAGTATCCAATATCTTCTGGTCCACTCATCCATCATTCTCATCCTCCTTCTGCTTCTCATCCTGCTTTTTCTTCTCATCTTTCCGTGTTACAACACCAAAAAATCCAAAAAAATCTCTATCAACATCTTAAGGTGTTCAAGCTCACAAAGGGTACCCCTCACACAGGCCATACCTCCCTCTAATAGTAGGGGCCCTCCCCGTATTAATCAAGCCCACCCTCTGGCCTCCATCTTGTCTGTCATCTCTTTCATCCTGCAATCCTCTTTCTTTTCATAATCATCCCAATGGAAGAAATAATATTGTCTTCCAATCTCTTTCATCTCTTTCCTAATCATCTCAATCAGTCCTAATCTTGTCATCATGTCATCATCCATCATCAGGTCATCACCTTTATTAGGGGATGTGATGTGCTCCTCCAATACCTCCAATCTCAAGCCTTGTTGACCTTGTTTACCTTGAAGGGGGGGGCCCGTTGATTAATCCTACGTGGGCATCACAGTACAGGTGCGCATCCAAAACTGGCACAACCCCATACATGCCTGCTATCTAGGGTCATCAAACGTCATGTGACCCATATTTTGGAGGCAATTGGAAAGGTGAAATCTAGGCTAGCATTCAGCAAGGGAATGGGTGAATTCACAGTGTAGGATGTTGACCCTCCAGGGATAGAAGCTGACATGACGAGTTTCTGCATCCACGAGGCAAGGAATGATTTTTGATTCTTGTTGGTGCGTGGCTGATGGAAAACAATCCCTCAAGTCTGAACACAAAGCAATGACTCTTCTCCAAAGTGAGGTGAACATGCATTTGGAACCTTGTCTAGGTCTTCGTGGGGTCTTGCCGCCTTGCCGGCAATGCAAGTCGGCACGTTCATGAACACCATGGCAAATGAACATCCCCAGGTTCAAGGCATTATATAAAGTTCTAGTCTCTGAAAGAACAAGGTTGTCTTGCACCGCCTCAGGCCCCTCCCAGAATCAGAATTCCAATCTCCGAGAAGCCCCAACAACTGACGCCATCTCCGGATGGACTTGATTCGAGGGACTCGCCTAGGCGCATCATCTCGCTCTTGACATTAAGCGGTCCCACTTGAAAATATGGTTGGTTTGTATTCCAAATGCTTTTTAAAAGCATCCAGCTATGGCAGCCATGGCTATGAGTTACCCCAGTCGCCACCCAAAAACCTGGATGAACTTCCATAAGTTCCACCACCCACGCCCAGAACGCCCCCGCAAGGCCCCGAACAAAGAATGACCAAGAAGCACGCGGTGCATCATACCGAATCATACCCATGAAATCCCCGCTTGGTCATGTTCGGTCATGTTCGTCTACAAAGGCCGCGTTGACACTGGAGTCCAGGAGCTGTGTTCACTTCCTCTTGAAAGCCTCACCGTACTAGCAAGTTCCAGAATGCTCGTAGAGTTAATGTTGATATTTGCAACTTGTAACCCAACTCGCTTGCCATCGTTGTATCAATGGCCAATGGATGTGGTCCAAGACCACAGCTTATAAAGAGAACATGTGCCTCGAAATCGCCAAGCCATCTTCAAACAGTGTCAATCGACCATGTTCTGTGCGCTCTCCTCATCTCCATTGCTCCTACATCAATGCACCGACCATCAACACTCCCGTGAGCTCATCTCGGATTGTTGGAGATCACCAAGTTCCAAAGCACTGCAATTAAGAATCGGTGACTCCAATCTCCAGCCAATTTGGTCTATGCATCTAGATCAAGGAAGGTGGATCTGCTTAAGCGGCGGACACATGTCCTCATGACGCCTCACATACCTGCTCTGCCGCTGATGATGCGATTGCCACATGTGCCGCTCATCTTCTTCACCACCAAGTGGCAGTGGCCCGGCTCCCATGGGGACTGGCCTCGGAGGGCGGAGGCTTCGGAGGCATCGGAGGCTCGGCTTCGGTGTCCCGCCGACGGCAAAACCACCAGACTCGTAAGACTCGATCTCTGGCATTGACGTAGGCCAACATAGGCCAACATCTGTAGCAAACGTCAACAAACACGACGTTTTACCAAGCAAGTGTCACCAGAAATTGACTCGGCTGGCGCCAAGACATGCACTCTACTCGCGCGCGAGGAGTGCTCTTAATCAAGTGCTCATCACAAGCACTTGAGGCCGAGGGTAGGTGACGAAAGCTAGCAGGGATGCATCCGTGTCAGTGGAGGCGAAGCATACAGCGCCGTCCAGTGACAAAGGACTAAAACGTTGTGAACATGTAAGACACACAAACAGCAATGACACAGCCAACCTTAGCTTGTGAATCTGTTGAATCTGTTGCATCGTATCCCAAAACCTCCACGGAGGAGTTGAACCAAAGTGAATGCCATAAGAAGTGTCGAAGAGGTGTCCGTCCCAGAGGCGTCCCAGGGGACATATGAAGTTTTCACGTGATGCGGCGATCGAGGATTCCAGCCCCTCACTTGCTAAAGCAAGGACAACTCCAGCTAGCTGATGCTAGCTGATCATGTGGGTCGGCCATGATTCATGGGAGTCACCGTCACCTTCTTTTTGCTGTTTCTGACGGGCATGTGTCTTTCGCAGCTGCTTCCAGTCCCAAGAACTCACTCAAGAGGACAACAGTCAAAGCCATGGTCAAGCAAAAGGGTGTTTCTTGGTGGAAATGATCAAAGTTGCTGGCCAACAGCGATGCTTCCAACATAGAGGCTGAAACATGAATCTGTAGCTCTGTAGCACCTGTAAGCATGGTGACCCTAAAATGTCTGAGATATTATATAATCTTAAATCTGGCATCATATTATTGGCTCCACTAGGATCTACTAAGTCAAGTACACAATCAGCCTCTGAGCCTTCTAGCCCCATGGCTGAAGGGGATAGGGTTCAGATTGCCCTGAGCCCTTCCCCTGACTTGCTTCATCTGGGGCGACCGGACATCTCCTGGAGAAGTTGGAGAGGCCTCACCAGCTGGCCAATCGGTGCAAAATTGTATTTTTGAGAGACCTTCGATTGAGGGGCTACCCAGGACTATGCAGGCCAACTGGTGGTAGACAAGGAGTTGCAGCACCTGGAAACTATGGAGGTCCTCTGCTCTTCTATTTTCCACTGGTGTTTGCACTGAATCCATGCCAAGATTTGGAGTGGCTCTCCAGATCCCTCCCGCGTGGCTCTCCAGAAGTCATCCTTACAAACTCCTGTAGACCAGCTGGACTCAATGAACAGAAGAAATTGAGCAGACCAGTGGGGCGCTTCGTCTTTGGTTCCGATGGATGGGTCTATGGCTTCCAGGCTGTCGCTATGGGGCCGAGAGCATCTATCATGCTGAAATAATTTTGACGATACACACCAAAAGCCCAGCATTCTGGGCCCAGGTGGGATCCCTTTGGCCGGTCCCGCTTCGAGGCTGAGAGCACTTATTCTCACATCAAAGGGCCAACAAAGGCGGCTGGATATTTTGGGGAGGCAGGGGTGTTCGAACCCGAAGTAAATGTTGCATCTCAGGCATCCCAGGGCAATAGCGACAGATCTCTCCAGCCGTGGTCTGCTATGACCAGCTTGTTTCACTGAGAGCAGCATTCACCAAATGGGCAACTTCTCTCAACATTGTCAGAATGCCATGTCGAATAATTGCACAAAAGCGCATACAACAGACCCCGCTCAGCGGCTAAGTCGTGTACCAGCTTGCCCTTCTCCTTCGGATCTGCCTGGGCGATTGGAGCTGAATCTTGGAGCGGGTCCACTGCGTGGGAGCTGACTCTTCACCTTTGGGGTTGCGGCTGGTCACTCAGAAATTCTAGACCAAGCATTCCTCATCAAAAGGCCACTTTCCCACGACTTCATTGCCGGGAGGCAGGCAAAACTTTCCTCGGCCTACCTTCCTTTCCTTTGACAAATCCTATGGAAAGCAGCAAAGGTGAACTACACATTTACAATCGCCTCCCTCCTCCCAGCATTCACTCACCCCAGCCCACCGGGCCCACGGGAAAAGAAAGAACCATGAGACTGGAAGAGTAGTTGGACCAGTTGTATATATTACAGTATATATAGCTTATACCTGAAAATCGGAACGAGTCATATAGCTATTAGCTATAATAACTGTGTTTTTTTCAGTCCCGATGCAGACCATCTTTGGCCCAACATGTTGTTATCTGATACATGCTGAGACATACAGATATCTATAGTGTATATCTGTGTGTGTGGGAGATCTTGACAAAATGGCCCATGGCTTAGGCCCTAGGCTGCCCGCCCCGCCGGACAACAGTTGACAGTGAAGGTGACAGTGATGGTTCAACGTGAGATGAAACAGTCCTGAGTACTCAGCAAACAGTAATCAGTAATTATATAAATGAATCAGTGCTCAGAAATATACTGATCACTGATCACATCTGATCACTGATTACAATGATTACATCTCATTCTTGTTGGAAGTTTGTTCTCCCAAATGGGGGGCAGCTGGATCCTTTTTGTGTCACTGCTCCGCCGACTCCTGCAGCTCCGTCAGCTTCTTCTTGATGAGCACCTGGTCTTCGCCCCAAGTCACGGGAACGGGTGGATTTCTGGGGATAGGCAACAGTGGATGGGTGGATGCTTGATCGTGAATCTCTAGGTTTGATTGTTTTCCTTCTACTCACACTGCTGTTGGCATAGTTCAACAGTCTTGGGCATGTTCACGGACGCGGGAAAGAGGGGGTTCCTCTACCTCCTCGGGCAAAATCCACTCATCGCTTAACACCGTGACGATTTATTGATATCTTTTGGGTCTGTTGGCCATCGCCTCCAGTTGCCGGAGTTCGTCGCAAGCAGCCACCATGTGACGTGCCAGTTGGAAGCCATCCAGGAAGATGCACAACTCCTCACCACCATGCGGGCCGCACGTGGGCACTACAATTGATCGAAGAAAAGCAAAAAAAAGCCACTGGGAACTCCAAAAGACCAGTGAACCATTGTGAAGCCTATATACCAACTTGACAAGCCTTCAACTCATTCTTCCTTCGTTTGGCCACTTTCTCCCAGTCATCCCCTCCCTGTGACGCACCGCCACCGCCTGAAGGGTCTGCAAAAGCCGCTCCACCTCTTTGGGCTCCTGGAACGAACAAGCGAAGCTCACACGGAAAAGGAGCCATGAACGGGACGTGCTATATGGGATGATACGGAACGACTCCCTGGCCCAGAAGAGGGCGGGACGACTCCCTGGCCCAGGTTTGTCGTCTTTGAGGAAGGGGGACGTCTATTTGTGCCTAAAAAGCCACTGGTCTGCGTTGGTTCTTAAGTGAGTCACAACTCCAAGAAGTGAACATCCAGAAAACGTTACCAAACTTCCTCTGACTGGGTTGACAAGCCTTTCCGGTTCTGACGAAGGTATCAATCTATGACACATGATTATTGCAATGATGGAGGTTAGTCGGTGAAGTGACAACACACAGTAGAATCGTAGAGTCGTAGAGGTTTTCTTTTTTCCACAAAAGATGTGGGAACCGTTGTAGGGATCGGAACCCCTCCCCAACCGAACAACATCGAAACACCTGGAGTTCTTACCTCTGACTTGGCATCTCCTTCAAAGGGTCCGCCATCTCATTCCAGCGCTGCTTCAAAGCCTTGCACGCACAACAACAGACTCAGCGTCTGGTGCCTGGTGGGTGACACATCTGAAGTCCGCAAAACCTCCAAAGACCTGTGTGTTGTCTGAGCACGTGACCTTCACAGAAGTGCTGGTGGCCCCCCCTCTATGGTTCAAGAGCAGAAGACTGGTCCAATGTAAGCCTTGCTGGGGTCAAGTGCTGATCAAATCAGTTGCCACCAAGGGGCCTAGCTACGGGTGACCACCGTGCGAAACATGCTGGATGACGGGCCACTTGCCAAACAAACAGTTCTGTGGACCACCCTGCATAAAATGCGTCATCTCAGCATTTTTGTGCATGTTTTATCATCAACCATTGCTCGCCCGCACAGAAGCCTGACAAACTCCCCACCCCATGGCATCATCGTCACCTCACCTTGGCTACTTCGCAAAGCCCTGGTGCCATGACCACAGAGCAATAGGTGCAGCGAGCTGACTCCGTGGAGAGGCAGCCTCACATGTTTTGGAGGGTCAAATTCACGTGCATTGAGCTGGGGCCTTCAATGTTGCAGATCTTGATCTTCTTCTTCTTCTTCTTCTTCTTCTTCCTCGCCTCTCTCTCTCTCTCTCTCTCTCCCTTTGGTTGTGAATCTTCCGTGGCTCGGTGTTTGTCCATCTTTGATGATTGGAATCGTGCAGAGTGGAGTCCAAAGCCTTGAGCCTTTTGGTCAAGCGTGCTTTCTTCTGTTCGTCAACAGCTCAGTCCTTCGGTATTGAGTTCGACCCGAAAAAAATCGAAACCAGATAATGTTGGTGGAGTCACTCTTTTTGGCCTCAAAAGCGATACCAAACTAGTATCTGATAGGTCCGTATGGCGCATACAATATGTGTTCCTCGCTTTGTTGACCTCCACCCGCTGCCCTTGACCTCCCAGCTGCTCACACGCTCGGCGGAGCGCTCCAAAAGGTCTGGAAGCAAGGTCGCCAGCGTGAAGATCTCCTGTGTTGGTCCCATCGGACACTCACAAACCATGAGTGATTTACCATGAGACCATGAGACGGACTGAACGAAAGACCTACATTAACCGTCAATCATCCAACCCTGAAACCAACCACTCCACGCGGGTTAATCTTCCAGTCCTAGGACGTTTTTGGCACATGGCTCCCCAACCTATCTCCTCAAGCGAGGCCTGCGTGCATTGCCGGATGCTTGGTCTTGACATGTTTTGACCCATCCCGGACTCCCAAAACTGCGTAGAGAAGCGTACTCTGAGGTCCATGTGCAATCCGTCTAAATGTTCTTTGCGGCAAAGACAGGCTTTGGCCCGTTCAAGTTTTGACCGGTTCGGACCCCGAGTCACGTTGTGGCTGGCTGAGATTTACTCAATAATCATGGGTCCGATGTGTTTTCAGGTCACAGAATGCCCATCCACCCCCCCAAAACACCCACCCTCTGCCCTCCAAGCGGCTGGCCCCTGCTCCACCGTGGGGTCGACACTCCGCACGCGCCAGGCAGAGCCGGAGCGCGCCAAAGCTTCGGTGAGCTTCTCAGCGACGAAGGCAGCATCCACCGAGGCCCAAAGGTCCAAGAAACCCACCGCGGGACCCTCGGACCTGTGGAACGATACAGGTCAAACAAGGCAAACGCGTGCAGGGCGACGCACTGGTAAAACAAGGATGGCCAACTTTGATCAACTTTGGAGGTCAGAAGAATAAGATGGTGCTTCCGAAAGTCGAGCAAAGGCGGAACATGTCCCGAGGAGGCCTGAGAAGCAAGAAGCAAGCGGTTCTGCATGCCAAGGGCCCATGGTTGGAACACCGAAACCATCCGAAACCTAAATACGCTATCATGTCCATACGCGGCCCACCCCGCCTCCCCAGCGCGGTTTCTACGGCCGCTGGCGCTAGGCGAGCCAGCCGGGCCGCAAGCAAGCCACCGGTGGCAGGAGGCGTTCTCGTGGGGCTGGTAGGTGCGTGGGAGGGCGCCTCCTCCAAGGGACAGTTGGTTTCGAAGTCCAGCATCAAAGCCTGGCAGGCCGCGGCCGCGGCGCTGGTGGTTGCTGAGTATCTTCTGCTTAAGAGGAAGCTTAGGATGCTCTCCCCGCCCATCATAAGCATCATAAGTTATAAGCTCCAACAGAACACTGAAGCGGCTGCTGGGCAGGACATGTCTTTTCGTAGGCCAGGTCACCATCTTCTGTACGAGACAAACATAGAGAAAGAGATGCGCATGCAAGTCAAGATCCTGCGCAACCATGGGTGATTGAATCAAGGTGTTGCACGCATTGTCCTTCATCAAGTAGGGGTTTTGGGTGCCCTACTGGCCCCACTTTGGGTCGTTGCTATGGCGCGAACTGGCATCCTTCGACAGCGACTTCAGGACTCGCCTCTGCGGCCTGCGATCCGCCCAGTGTGAGGATGGAGGAATGGAAGCGGACCATTTGCCTCAAAGAAGCTGAACGGAGTGAGGGTGGAGAACGAGGAAGAGTTCGGTGTTTGGAGCATACGTCTAAGACGTATGTCTTTGTAGTATGCGTTTCTTGAGACCAGGATTGCCAACCTCAAAAGGAATATTGAAAGAAAAACACCCCAAGCCTGGCTGGGTTCCAGAGAATGCTGACGCTTCTCAAGGATGTCTAGGTCTAAGACAAAAAAATCCAGATACATAACTGCGTTTTGGCTGGGGTGAGAACCAGCATTCCCTTGGGCAGGACGTTCGTACAGAATTTGGATGAATTTAGCATCATTCAGCAGTGGAAACTCATTGAAACATGTGTTTTCCATTTGATTGTCGGATTTTCCCTTCCTCTCTCTCTCTCTCTCTAACTCTAACCGCCTTCAAAACATGTTTCATGTTGCGGTGCTCAGTTCCCACGAAAACAATTCTGTTTACGACCAGTTCAGTGGGGATTGGTCTAAAAACCTGCTTTCTGCGAGGGTCTTGCAGCTGCACCTGCTTGGTGTATTGAGCACCCTTGGCGACCAAAAACCTCTGCAACGACAGGTCTGGCGCCAAAGCATCGCAAGAGTCGCTTTCCATGTGCCAAAGCCGGCTATCTAATCCAGACCCTAAATCACTGGTTTTGTTTATTCCCAGCCCTACATGCGCGAAGCATCGTGAACCCAATCTAGTCTGCCCATTCATCCGCTCAATCCGAAATCCAGCTGCTGCAGGGTATGGAGCATCAAAGGCTTCGACTCCTCCGCCGCCAACACCGGCAAGCGCTGCCGTAGGAACCGTCGGGCCTCGTGTGCCAGGGAGGCAGCGAAGCCGTTGAGCAGCTCAGTGTCCTGGGTTTCGGCCGAAGTTTGAGAATCCCAGAGGCCCTAAAATGGAAAGCCACTAGCTGACGGCTGCTAGAAAGCCACGCCTTTCTCCGTGGGCCGAGTCGTAGCTGGGAGTGGACTGTATGTGGCCATAATGCCAACGACACCCGGGAAGAGACCCACATGAAACCTGAAAATTGACCTTTGGACGACTACTTACTACTTTCCTCTACAACCCAGTGGTTCTCAGGTTCTATGTTAATCAATGCCAACTACAGTACCACCACCTGCAAGGATCCCCCTATGGCAGCAGACCTGGGCATGGAGTTTTGACCAAGCCATGCCTCACGCATCGAGGCGAACTGAATCATTCACCAGGCTTTCTTCCATTTGGGGCACCACACGGCTGTACCGCACGCAGATCCATGCGCATCCATGCGCATCCATGCAAACAGGCTTTTGTGACGCAGCCTCGACATCAATTTGGCCCCTCAAAACCTTCCTCAAAACCTTCAATCACATTTAGAAGAACCAGTTTCATCTACAAACCCATTCCAGGAAGTCATGTGTCTTCACTCCCCATCCCACATCGGACTTCCGGAGATGTCTGCTATCTGACGGAGCGGAACGGGAAGGACCCATCATCTTGAAAGCACCTTGGGAGATCCATGAAGTAAGTAGAGTAGATTCAGTAGACTATTCAGTAGACATAGAGCCCAGGTCCCATCCAGCCCAGCATCCACCTCATCGCCCATCCAGCCCTCCAACTCCGCAGCGTGCTCCGCCGCGCAATCCGTGAGGTATCCTCCGACGCAGGCCCAGTGGACAGTGCTAAGTGGTGGGTCGGTTGGGCCAGTCATTTCTGGGGTCTTGTCATGACCGATGCCAGTCTCTACGTGGAGGCTGAAGAAGAACAACGAATTAGGCAAACAACGCTGCTATACAGCCCGCTAAGTATCCCCCCCTACGTCTTGAATCGCTGCCGTCCTGGACTCCAAAAGATGGCTTTGCAATCATGGTGACACCCTCAGCTTCCCTCGTTTTCTACGCCAAAGATCTGAAGGCCCACTCTGGCTTGTCCATGCGGCACAGCTCGCTGTCTGGCCGGCAGAAGTGATGTCGAAAGCGTGCCAAGAGCGGGGCCGCCAAAGCTGCACAGGGCCACAGCTCCTTCGCTGTCGAAGTCAGAACATCTACAATATCTATATATATATACATAGTATTATAGAACTTGGAAGCTACACTAAAATGGGTCAACAAGATCCACAACCAAGGAACATCGCATATTGAAATTGACATCCCCAACATGCCAAACCACCTGGAGAGAGATGTGTCCCAGGAAAATGGTACCTGTCCAGTGCTTATTTTAGGCATCGAACTGTTTCACCACGTTGGATGCAGTTCGCTGTAAGACTCCTCGTAGTGTCCCAGGCAGTATGATCCTTGTCTACCAAGCTGTGTCCACATGGGGGAGAATTAAGAAATATCCTCGCTCTTTACACGTTTCCTTTGTTTTCCTCGATGTCCCTTCCTTTCAAAACAAAAATCTATGGCCTAAAGGACAAGAGCCCTCCCAGTGTCTATCTCAGTGTGCTCGATGAGGGTGTAACTTTCCGCAGCTGATCCACCGGACCGCTCTCCTCCACCGGACCTTCATTGCCCTCGAGACGTCGAAGCTCGCGATCCACCACTTGTGCGTCGCGGAGCTGTTTGCAAAGGCTCAGCACCTGCAACGCAAAATGGATCAAAATGGGGTCCATCCCAGGTGGGATCCCACTCATCATGGAGGGAGCCTTGTTCGCTGATCCATCGAACCTTCAACAAGTCATTCGGAATGGTGTCCGATGGAGTTCACCTGCTATAGCTGGGAACGCTGGAACATCTCTAGTCGGCAGCTTTCTCTCCAGAGTCCACCTCTGATAGAAAGAACACCTTGCAGCACTCACACATGGAGAGCCAAGCACGTTCTTCAAAAGTGGAGCTCTTGCTACAGTTCCCACGCCGTGTGCTTGAATAGCATGGAACAAGATTGCCCAAATCAGTTTGTGGCAAACACCTTGTCTTTCTGCATTGCGAGCTAAGGTCGCAAGTCTCGCTAGAAGTGTCGAATCCCCCCGGGCCTCCCGCTTCTACATCATTCAGCATCCACATGTTTTCAATATGGCTGGGTTCTACCATGGGTTCCCTGCAATGGTTCCCAACTCACACAGTGTAGCAGACACAAAATGCAGGAAAACAAATTTTGCGGTAGAAGATGTGGAACATGAATATGCCATGGGCTGCTGTTCTGCCGTCGTAGGATCATACACACCACAACGTGGAGAAGTTGTGCTCAACTCATCGTGTCTCCCTTCAGCTTTGAAACATCCTAGCCCTGGCCTGTGCGTGTGGCACCTGCGCGTTTTGGGCCTCGTCTTTGGGCCAGCAAGCCTTCAAAACGTCCAAGAGCTCCTATGGGTTCAGCTGACTGCTAAAGCGCAATCGGTTTAAAACTTATGCCATATATGCTTAATGCTTGTCCCATCTGGTCCCAGTTACTTTTGTCGGCCGGGTGTCTTGGAGGTTCTCTCATCTTGAGGCAAAGCCGTATCGAAACATCAACCCACATTAACCCTGTGACCCTGTCCTGTGTAACCAAACGGCGCAAAGGATCCACCAAGAAGCGCAGGCGCTTGAGGCCTGTCGAGAGAGGCTGAGGACACTGGTTCCAGTATATAAATCAGTAAATTCATGTATATACCTTACCCAAGACGCAAAACCTAGTTCAGCTGCAGGAGTTCATGGTCGGACTTAGGGCGCTGTTCCGCCCAAGCATGTTTGTTGAAGGTGGGTGTTCGGTAGAAGGCTTCGTCCAGAGGGAGTCCCAGACACCAACATACTCATATGAACCACAAGTCTGTTCGCTGTCGTTTCCCAAACAAAGGCTTGCAGGCCCGGAATTTTGACCAGTTTCAACTAACTGACCTCATTGCTTACAGCATCTCCGTCCGCAAAAACATAGCCACACTGGACAGAACGGCCATCCCTTGGTTCTAAACTGGTTCCCTCGATTCCCTACATACGCTCCCATATAAAAACTACAGCCAAACATCGCGAACATATTCAACTTAGGGCCTTAGGGTCTCAGTGGCGCTCTTCCTAGGCAGTTCAATGCGAACATAACAAGTCAAAGCGCAAGCATGGTCACAGCACTTGTTTGCTCACCGAAAGGTCCCCCTGTGTAATGAAACTTCACACGCCACAGAATCGTCCGATCAGAGGACTCGAACTAGGCACCTACAGCCCTGCTCCGCGCTGGCAGACGAGTGCAAAGCTCCAGCAATCCTTTCCTCACATGTGCTTGCAACCACTCTAACCGGGCATGTTGGTAACGGGGCCCTGTGATAAAGCTAAAGCAAGATGGGGAGTCATGTTGACTGGCTAGCAAAATCTAGCAAACATAGTCTAACCGTTTTCACTGTTCCGTCAACTGCATCCAAAGGTGGCAAAAGGAGTGCCATGAATCTTTGGCCCACTGGTGTTTGACCCCTCTAACATCCCAAACGTTGGCCTAGCCACCACCTGGAAGGGAAGTTGTGACTTCCTCCATGTCGAAATTATATTACAATCACTTCACGTACTCGGCTATCATATCCTATCATCTTGAGCAGGCGAATCAAATCCAATCACCACCCTGGCTGATAGTTTTCTGCAAGTGCTGGCCCTGACTGATGCAAAAATTGCCCCCCCCAAAAAAAAAACGTTAAACTTGAAACAAAACATGAAATGCAACGAGAGCCAGTGTTGCGACCCAGCGTCACATCCACCTCGGGGCACCGACCGAACGAGAAGACTGCCTCCCGCGCAGCGTCCGTGCGCTCGGCCATGGCCACCTCGGTTGGCATCGGTCTGACGTGGGAAGGTCAAAACAAGGACAGCGAGGTCGACATAGTTCAGGCTCTTCACTCAAAATCGCCTCTTCACTCAAATCCTGGCTGAAACTAACAGAATTTGCTGACGATATTTGACTTTATAGTCTTTCCCAGGCTCGGGAGATCATCTTCTCAACCACCTCTGGCAGTTTCCACGGTTATAGTCAGATCTAGAAACCACCTGGTGCCTGCTAAGGGTACTGGTGACATCTGGTGGCTAAACACCGATTCAAACGCTCTGGATGAAACGGGTTTCTTTGGATATCCTAAACTGTCCAAAAGGCTGTCTGTGCCCACAGGGCAGCTCAAGAGCGTTTGGAAGATAACTAGTCAGTTGTGACAACACTGCCATGTTGCGAGTCTTCCTCCAGACCAACCTCCTTTCTTTGAGGCAAAGAAATGATTGACATCAAATTTCAGCAAAAGGACAATGTCTTGAAGAGCACGACGCTTCACCAGCAACTTCTGAAAGCTGCAAATCTCCCGAGAAATCTCCGCGAGAGGTCCCGCTTTCCTGGGGTGACGGTCCAACCCAGCAGCACAAGCCGCCACGACTGTTCAAATTTGGCTGGTGCCATCTGGCTGCTACAAAATGTTACTAAAACACTTAGGGAACACAATTGCCCTAAGCAACTTCAGCCCGATTCCCGAATCAGAAATCCATCAGTCATGTGACAGGCTGGTAGCTGCTCTGTCTGGTTCTTCCTTAGAGATGGCCACCCAAATGCCAATTATCTGCGATTTCATGACTTGATTGGGGTCACCGGTGGGATGACAGCTTCCTGCAGACATAGAGTCATCTCCTGATGCTCTGCCAGAAGTCGGCCTGCTTCATTCAATCGCCCGATGAGCTGCGGCACCACAGGGCTGCAGGATTTCTTCAAACAGTCCTTGGCAGCTGCGATGCTTTGGTCAACAGGTAAGGTTCGGGTTGTATGCCCCTCACCCAGTGACACTGCATAGCTCAGGCAACACCATTCAGCAGCACCACATGACAAGCCCTGCTCTTCCCGAAGGATTGGGAAAAAATGTGCGCACTTAAATAATATAGTCTTGGTTGCCTGAATATCCGGAATCATTGAGGAAAGTCATGGAAAAAAAGCTGAAAGGCCTCTGCCTCGGGACCGGTCTTTCTTATCGACCTTCACATCATCGTCGGAACGTGCTTCTCCTCGGCAGCCCAGGTGCTGCGCTGGCCTCCTTCCACCGCTCCTGGGCCACTTGCAGCTCTTTCCTCTGCTCCACGCTGCGTGCTCGGAGCTCTTCCTGTGCTGCTGACTGAACTCGAATCTGGGGAAAAAGCGGGCCGGCGTTTCTGGGTCAAAGCTTGGTTCGTCATTGGAACCTAACCCCAGCACCACATCACTGGATTGTCTGGATCTGTCCCAGCATGTGGGGATCTCCGCTGCCCCACAAACGTAATGGTGGATGGCTTATTCCAAATCAAATGATGCAGTTTATGCTGATTGTGACCCTCCTCTACTCAAGGTATTTAGTTGCGAATCTGTACAATACTGCGGGGTGGTTCAGATCCCGTGTAAGACCAGTGGCCGCCACGGGGCTCAGGAATGAACGGAACAGTCCTCCAGAAATGGTAGAAATGTTTGGAGGCGGCCCGTTGTAAGCGGCATCCGGTTCTAATGTTTCTATTCAAATGCATTGGAGGGATTGAATTGGCTGATTCACTTAGGGAAACACGTCGGGCACGACGTGAAGTCCAAGGATCTCCCCACTACCAGTACCACCTGTTTTTCCCGACCATCCGGATGCGGTATTGTCTAGGTCCACATGTGTGTTTCACCACATGTTTCACCACACCAAGTTCGGGATCCGGAATGCAATGGATTCCAAGTGTCCAGGCGAGCTTGTGAAGCTGGGCCGCTCAAAAGCTGCAGCAGCTGCTGATCGTAGTGGCGATCCTCAGAGCTGCGGACCGTGACCGTTGGGGCTCGGGACCGGTCGCGAATCCCCAAAGGCAGGTTCCCGGTTGAGTGCACTGGTGCCAGTTCGCGTTGCTCCAGGACCGGCAAACAACATAAAATACCAACATATACCAGTAGCGTCCTTGCTCCTAGTAGCGATGGCAGGAGCCCCTAGTAGCCTCCTTGCTCCTAGCAGCAAGGCCAGGAGCCCTTAGTAGCTTCTTGTTCCTAGTAATTAACTAACAAACATGTCTCAGATCTACTGCCCCCCCTCCTTTTTGGCGACTGGTGTGAGTGGCTATGAGTGGCTTCGCTGCCGAGGACAGCCGAGGGGCTCCGCAGCCCGGGCGTTCGAGCGCCTCCTCTTGAGCTCGAAGGCGGCTCTTGAGCAGCTCGTTCACTACCTGCTATGGGTGGGTTGGTCATGGTCGACCCATGATAGGTATATAAATAAATATCTCGGTGTGTGTATGCTTGCAGTGTTCATTTATGTTTGTGATGTCACTCATTTGTGTATTTTCTATTTTTGAAAATTGTATATGCTGCATCATGTTGCCCTCCTACCCCCCAGGAGCCCTGGATGAGGAGAATCTACCCCCAACGGTGGAATCAAACGAATTAAAACACATTTCTAGCAAGAAAAACTGCTTGAGCTTGAGAAATATATACATGTTGGCATTTGCAGTTGACATGTTTTTTTCGCACCTTCACATGTTACTGTTACTGGCGGCTGGGTTTTAAAAACATGCGCAAGGGTCCAACGCTCCAAGAAAATCTAAGTCGCTTCATCTGGTCTTCGGCTGCCCCTCATCACACCCAACAAACCCAGGAGCCTCCGCGGCGAGCGCGAAACGCTGCTGCCGCCCCAGGATCCCCAGCGCTTGCCTCGGACCACGGAGCACGGACTCAGGGGACCAGACACACTGGACATACCGTGGTCCGACGACGCCAGAAATCGACGTCAATGGATCAACTACAAACTGAACCCTGTCATGTGTCGAGAGTGAGTGTGCTTCACTAGATCTGGATGATCGGACTCTCTTGGTCTGGACCTCTCAGACCGACCCAAGCCCACATTTTCCTACAACAGTGGCATTTGACCTGAGAAGGTGCAGGTAGTGACCACCGTGATCAACTAATTACCTACTCTTCCGCAGGAGGCACTGCAATAACTATCCAGGAACCTGCTCGCCCCTACAGAAGTATAGGTAGATACCCCATGCCTCCCCTTCGCAGGCCATACACATTACAGGACCGATTGAACGCACGACCCAGATCCACCGAGAACATCCGAGCACATCAACACCACACAGACTCGACCGACCAAGCAGCAAGTCCTCTGGGCTGGGCCGCTTCTGCAGAAAGGCTTCTAAGCGTTGGCGCACCAGCTGCTGCTGATCGACGACCCGCGCCTCGCCTAGCTGCAAGGCCGCTACAATGTCAAGAGACTTGGTGGGGGTGATCACTTGCCTCCCAAAGATTGTGCAATGATTTAAGCTGACTGATTTTTGTTATATATATATATAGTTCTCAATCATAAATCCGCATACTTATCCGCATATATTCTCCCACCCGCCAAGCTTGGGGTTAGTCAGGGGGCCAGTCAGCCTCGTGTTGAGCCATTGTGAGCTCTAGCAGCGGCCCAAATGACCAATGAGTGTCAACCCAACCCTGGCTACAAGACTTTCAAACTCCAATCCTGAGGCTCTTAGTAGGTCCTAGAAATGCTGCTGTGCTGCATCACCATGGCTGTAGGTTGCCATTGTGCTTTTTCGCCATGGCCTTTGTTATCTTTGTTCAAATTATGGCCACACACACACACCAAAAAAAAAAAAAAAAAACTACATGGCTGCCACATCCCTGGAGCCTTCAAAAGCACCGTTTGCCTTGTAGCATTCTAATAGCTCTAGCCATCTCAAAACCAACAACGGCCTCTTGCACCGAATCCCTGTGAATCCAAGTCACCTTGCTTCTGATCCAGGTACTTCACAAAGAACATGCGGGCCGCTCGTGACGAGCGCCGGGAGGCTCGCTCGTCCGGCCCGCAAAAAGAGCACCAAGGTGCTCTTGGGAAGAAGACGTGCGTTCATTCGTTCCATTTTTGGTGGTGCTACGTGTCACCATCTTCTGGCTTTGTATGTGGCATTCTTTTGGGCAATCTGTTGATTTGCGGCGCCCTTGCTGCACTGACTGGTTTCTGAGTACACTCACTGGGCTCTCAGACCTGACAATCTCCGTATGCACTGCTTCAAGAAGGAGATTTAAATCGTATGTCCCTTAAACAGTTCAACATGACCCCATGCGGAGCATGAGAATATGAAATCCCTCCTCTTGCTCTCACTATTTCTGGAGTAGCGACTGGTGAGCTGACTGCAAGCGGGCCGCCGAGAATTGAAAAAAAGTGACGGGGACAGCGGAGTAGCGACACTAAAGGTCTGAGTGCAACCAGCTTTAAAATTTGGGACTTAAACCCAACCACAATCTCCGTTCGGTCAGGACGATAGAGGACAAAAGACCTCAAACTGCACTCTGGCAGGAGTTTCTGCGCAAGAGGCGACCCACAAACTGTGTCACCACCTATGGGGCCTTGTGCCAAAAGTCTGAAGTAGTTGCATTCCCAGATTCACATGCGCCGGTTGCAAAGATCTCATGACCATTGCTGTCCGCATCGTGTCATGCCCTGCCTGCGGCTCCAGCAACATCAGCACGGCAGCCTGGATCGGAACAATGTGTCGTTCGCTTCGAGTGGAGCTCGAGGTTTTCTTGGTCGGATCTTCGGGCAAGGGTCCTTCCAGATTCCGGTGACTGATTTCACGGGCAAATCTGTGCCCACCTTTGGTGCCATTCACCTTCGGCATTCCTGCCCAAAAAAAGCAAAGGGGCAAAACTCGAAAAGTAACACCATGTAACACCCTTCACACATCTCCTCAAACGATGTCTTCAAACAGGAACATTCAATTATATAGCTTTTTCATCTCCTAACCCCCCATTCCAACCCAACCGCCTGTTGCCGCTCCCGAGCAAGGTCGCAGGCTGTCTGGCCCTGGTGGTCCAAGGCATCCTTAGGTGCAAATGTGGAGAACGGTTTTTCATGTTTTTTCCATGTGTTTTCGCGGGTTTCAGGTCTCTAAGTCCTCCCTGAGCGCTAAAGTCCAATAAGCCTTCAACCAAAATCAATTGTAGTCACTCAAGCCGGGCTCCGGCCAGCTTGTAACATCAAGCTATGACCAAAGCCATGGCACGACACGTCTGGATGTACCCTACGCCCGACGGCTACACGGTCTCATGGTGCCCTAAGGCTCGGTCTCATGGATGTCATGGGCGCCAAATAACAGAAATTAGGATCGAGATTCAGGGACACCCTTTCTCTGATTGACAAAGTTTATGGATGGGCATGCACAAGACCAAAGACTTGGCATGGTTCTTCGCAGTGTCTAGTGTGAGCGTCCAACTGCGACCTGGAGCTGCCAGACCAACTGTGGGGACCAACTGGAGCTGCCCCCGTGCAAATCCGGGGTAATTAGACCCTCCAAACTCCAAACACCCCAAAACACCTTCTCAGCTTATCAGCAACTCCCGAGCCATTTCCCTGTGGGAAAACCATTCCCCAACACGGGTGAAAAAATATCCACTGACTGAGTAGGTCAGCGGTCAGGAGTTGATATATACTTCAATTCATGCGTCCTTGTTCCTAGTAGTATGGCCAGGCTAGTAGCGAACATTGTTCCTACTTCAATTCATGCGTCGGAAGCCACCTGCACAAACTCTGCCAGGTCACGGTCTCCGCTGAGGCCTTGACAGCGTGAGGCTGTACACGACAGGAGGCTGAGGGCAGGTCCAGTGAGGCATCACACAGTCGGCGGCCACTTTAAAGCTGCGGAACTCGACTGTGTGGGAGGATGGAACATGATAGAATACCAGCAGCTAAGATTACATGTTCTCTTCTTTGGATGGCCTAGTCACCTGGCAAATGTCTTGGGGCGAGAACTGTCGTAACGGGCGAATGCTGAAAATGACCTCTGCCTGGTCAAAGGCTGATCCAGAGTCGTCTACTTTACTATTCTACTCTCCCCACATTCACTGACAGAAAATGGTTCGGGGGTGCTAAACTGCTAAACCCAGCTCCAACCCATCACAGCACGAAACAAGACCTATGCATCGCTCGACCAGAACCTCACGCCGCACAGCGCCCAAAATGCCAAACATACCTAATAATAGGTTCTTTGCACTTTGGGCGCTGAGTCTTTGCCATTCTTTGCCTTCTCCCCGACCTTTGCTACGTCATCACCACGCCGGCATTCCCAGCCACACGCTCAACTGGCCGCAGGCGCCTGCACCAGCAGGCGAACAGCCTCAGTATGGCCCTCCACGGCGCTCCGGTGCAGCGCGGTGCGGCCCAGGTGGTCCTCCTCCTCAGGCGGTGGAGGCTGGACACCTGGGGGTGGGGCGCCTTTTCACCCAAAAAATCAACACATATCACATCATATAATCATAATTAATCATATAGCACAAGAACACGCACACACAAAGACCAACAATGCATTTGGGATCAACAAGTGAACCCCCCTGTGAAGGTCAAGCCGCAGACTTGTAGCAAGTGTAAATAGAACGGGAAATGTGTATATAATATCTATATATATATATATATGTATATTATGTCGTTCCATCTGGCCTGAGCCACCCGAAGGACCGCTGTTTCTGGGGTGACAATGCCAAGCACATGAGAGTGGATCCCAGCAAATGGATGCAACTAGTCCATGTGATGGAAGTATCTATTCTTGGGAACTTTTGGGAGGTGCCGTGGATGGGTCACCGATCATCAGCACTCAGCGGCCCCACGCCCGTTACAAATGGGACCAGTGATCAATCTGATAAGAGCCACCAGTGGATGCATGCGCTTCTGCACTCCACCATACTTATACAAAGGTCACCAGGCCAGCATTGCATACCATTTCTTGCCTGCCTGAAACCTGGAGTCTCTTGACCTTTGTTGCACCAAACTCGCACCACACCGACAAGGGCTTTGGACGGTGGCATCTGTGACATTTCAGTTCGCCAGTTCGGGTGCCCCGTCTGCGCCCCACACCGTCCCACCGAGAGGCTGTGAGACCGAGGCCTCCTGCAGCACAACCGATGCCGCAACACGCCCACAAGCCATCACCGTGAACGAAAGAAATCAGGACCGTTAAATGTAGCAAGACATACCTATATATATATAGTTGATCGTACAAATCGTACTCATAGATCTCATAAGTCTAGTTGGGCCATAGTCTATGGTTGTATTCAGGCAGCTCTCCCCATGACCGGTAGGACCAACTGTCACAATGGGCGAAAAACGGGTTCCAGGCCAAAAAAGGAACGACTGCTTTGCGGCATAAGCACCTTTTTTCCAGACCTGCTATTCATTCGATGCCACCGGCCGATGCGGCGAGGAAAGAACCGATGCGGCGAACTCGCCCCCCCAAAAAAATCACCGCCTGAAGCACGAAGGAGAAGGAGCATGAACTCGCCTGAAAATAGGCGCAGGGCAGGAGACGAATAGTGCCAACCACATCCCTCAATGTCTGGGAGTATGACTTGGGGATCTTCCACGTTTGACCCTGGCGCAGCCGAGTCACACCGGCCCCTGCTGGCGCACTCCAGAAAGGCTGTAGCACCCGCGGCATCCTCCCATGCAGCGGAAGAATTATACTTTTGTGAGGTCCCCCCAAAGAATATATGTTTGCAGGATTCTTTCCCTGAACACACTCTGCAGCCCCTCTGCAGCATTTGATTCTATCAGCGACTATGAGATGCAGTGAACATTCCATGTCCATCCGCTCTTCATTGACCATCGACCAACGTGATTGTGGCCTCAAAGGCCCAGCAATTTATACAAGTTTGGCCGGACTGTTTCATGCCTCCACTTAGAGGGTTCCCGATCTGAAACAACTGATGATGATTTGTCGAACCTTTGTCCGACCATTCCAGAAAGTCGTGGGAAGGACCAGGCAGATAAATCTCCATGCAACAGCCAGTGCAGTTTGATGCAGTTTGTCATTGCGAGTCCGGGGTAGAAGGGGAGAACAAAGAATCCTGTGGTCCTGAGCTGGGTTGGCTTGCAGAGAAAGCACTCGAAGAGCCCTCCCTTGCTCCACAGGTGATCTGCTTGATCCCCGGCATGGCATTTATTCCTTGATTGCCTGGAGGTTGGTGTTTGTCTAGATATGGCATCAACCTGCAGCAGCCCATTCAAGCATGGGGAACCCTGTAATTAAACCACCAGCCGTGAGGTTTTCTGACTGCTCTGAGCCTTTTCGGGCCGTTTCCGCCCGGATCCCTTGTCGCACCGTCCTGTAGCGAGGGATCCGCTTGCAGCTCCAGCAGCTGCGCGAGCGATTTCACCGTGGCACTCTCCGAGAGGCAGTGGAGATGCAAGGGAGTCCGCCGCTTGGGCCCGGGGCAGTTCAAGGAGGACATCAGCCTGGAAGATCAGGGGAAAATCAGCCATGGAGACATGTATCCACATGTGCTGCTTGTCTTGGTGTATGATTGGTGGCTTGCAAGTTTGCAAGCCCTGTCCTGATAAGTAGTTCTTGCCTAGAAAAAAGCAGAACAACTGGAACTTGAGGTGGGGTTTTGTCCTTCAACTACAGTATGGCGAGAGTAGGAGACGTTCGAACCTGCACATTAATGTTTACACCCCCGGACTCTCGCACCACCCACCTCGCTGAGGTCCGACGGGTCCAGCTTCGAGTTCCCACCGGTTCCACTTCCGCGTCTCGCCGACCCAGAAGCACTTCTCCCCAAGCTGAATCCAAACACATCTCCCCTGGGCAAGCGGCTCATGCTGAAGGAGCTCCATCTGCAATGCATGCCTTCGGATCTCAAATCCGGCAAACATTGAAAGCGAACATAAAACCCTGAAACCATTGGCGCGATAGAGGCAAAACGACGAAAGCAGTCTGGATGTCTTTTGAGGATCCACGTGGGGTGTTATCACGCATGAATCTCTAATCAGCATCCTTTTTGTGGCGCATTTGACGTTTTTTTGCATGCGTGACATGAAGTGCGCTTTATGAAAATGTACATGTTTGAACATCATCTTCATA